TACAGGGTGTCAAGAACTGAAGGGTTTAGGATGGGTATTTCAAAAGACTAAGACTGATATTACTGAAAGTAGAGCACTCTATGGTGGGGTGAAAGAAGTGGTAGGCACAACAGGTCACAGACAGAAGGATAGAAAGGTCTGAGCAGGACACTTTTTGGATTGGGGGAGATTTCAGAGATAAGGCAGAATAATGCTATGAAGGTATTTAAGTATGAGCATGAAAAATTTAAATTTTGGGAACTCAATCAGAAGCCAATACAGTACAGATGAAGATGATGAACAAGCAGGACTTGCCTTGCGATAGGACGGAGCAGTAGAATTTTGGACGAGCCGAAGTTCAAGGAGAATGCTAGGTTAGCCAGGAGAGCGCTAAAGCAGTCAAATCAAGAGGCAATGAAGAGAGTGAGCGAGTGACTGTGTGTCTGTATTTGTATATGTGGGGGTGGGTGAGCTGGGTAATGAGATAAAATACAATAATTATTGGACAACATGAAGAACTTATTACTGAATGACTTTTCATCCTGGTATAAATTCTTCAGTGGTTTCCTATATCCACCAAGTATCTTTGCCAGTTCTGGGTGCTGAGTTTCTCTCGAATATTCTGCTTTTAATTTAGATATTGTACAATGTTAAATTCAGTGATCAGAATTTGTACTATGTCTCAGCCTTTGGAAATTTTCAGTGCACATCATGCTGTGAATGATCAGATGGAAAAATGATGGCAGAGATTTAAAGTTGAGGTTATAGATTTATGATCTATATTGTCACAGTTTTCACAAAAAAAGTGTGACGCAAAATATGCCAAAATTTACTCAGATGTGCTTAATCTGTGTAGCATTTCAATGTACATGAGTCATCACTGCTAGTTATTCAGAAACAGATACCTTGCAATAAACAATGAAATTCAACAAAAATGTTTGAGCCAGATGTTACTTCAAATGAAATTACAACTTGAAATGCTAAAAACAGTGCCCAGTTCATAAGGCGAAACAACATGACATTTTGTATGCCATTCACTGGTCTAATTGTATTTTTGTGGTACTGGTCTATCTTGAGTGGTCAGGAAATTCGAACAACAAATAATTGTTGGTATTGTTCCATCTGCATAAACATGCAACAAATGAAATCTATGTGGGATGAAATAACTTGGGACAAATGTTAAAAATTAAAATAATCGTAAGTTGCCAGTTTGATAGCCATTTCAGTAATGAATACCAAACCTACATGAAACCTGATGCGTTGTATTACAGGCACACAGGATAGCATCTCACTAGAATTCCAAAATCACCTGTCAATGCAAATAGCTTCCACAGACCTCTGGAGACTTTTCCTTGTTTCTTATAGCTTGGGGTTCTTTTCTCAGGACTTTCAGCAAGTTGATAACTGGAGAATAACTATATTGAGCAAAATCAGAAAAAAATCCTACAGCTTCCAAAGCAACACTGCCTCCTACCCAAAAGCCCAGTTGGTTTCTTTTTCTTTTACAACATTCTCTGTGGTTGGCTGGCCAGAACTTGTCCTCCTTTGTTTGACCAATTCAACATCTGACCAGCTTTCAGTCCGAGCTAATGGCATCTCACTGCCAGTTTGTCTATACTGTTCTAGCAACAGTATTTAACAATCATCTTTCCAGGTCAGTTCAATAGCAAACATCAGTCTTTTGTTTTCTCCTTTTTCCAAAAAAAAAGCTACGTTCAATTCTCAATGCAATTTACAGTTCCAAACCAAAATGGAGAAAAATGAAAGAAAAACAATGATCGTCTCAACCGGCTGAACTTCTATCTTTCTGTTTGTTCAACAATCAATGGCATTTACGAGCTCAACAACTGGGGGTTCTTTGTCCAGCTGAACCATGTCAGGAAACTGCAAGAAATAATCAACACCAATGGAGAAATGTCTGTCTCACATAAACATGATTTTTATTGTGTTCAACTCATTGGGACATCTGCTTACTTCTGTCAGGAGAATCAAATGTTCTCTCGACCCCATCATACATAACAGGGAGCTTTCTGCTGTCATAGTTTACAGACAAAAACAACATGATTTTTTATATTCTATCTGCACGTTTAATGGCATTTGTTTATCATGAGGCGTCAAGAGATGAAACCATCCATAATTAAGAAATTACTGCCACCTTGTGGAAATAGGTGCATAAATGCACTATATTAGCAATAATTAAGTGGAAAAGTATATCGAACATGAAAGAAAATTTGCAGCTGAAGATAAAAAGAATCAAAGAAAAACATACATTTATATGTACAAACTTGCTTTGGGACGTGCCATTTTGTTTGTTTTTAAAAAATTCATTGTAACTTTGTATACATCAATATTTTAAAGCGTATTTAGAATCCTGTGATTTTTAGAACCTGAAAACAGCCTGTCTACACTTTTCAGCCTACATCTTTATCACAATAAATTCATACAAAATGTATGCCCTAATGGTGCTATGAATCTACGGTAAGCTTATTTCTTAAATTTTTAATCAACTTTATAGTATATGCAAAATTGCTAGCACTTAATTCTTTGAGGTTGATTCATATTTAATAATGACTACTTGGACAGCCATGTAACTAAACTACAGGAGCCAATCACAAAACTCTGAATTTTAAAAAGGCAAGTTGTAAAGTACATCATTCAACTCTACATTACACTATGTAGGTTTCGCAGGTCTATACTGCATCTCAGGTCTTATGATCCCTGATAAAATCAGTACGTGTATTTTTTTGTTAAGAATCTAAAACTTCCAACATTTGTGAAAAGAACAAAGCCACAAGGTTCATGGATTATGGTTTAAATGAAATGAATTCTGCTACACAGAAAATAAAGCATATGAATATTCATGACTACACTATCTTAAATGATCAATTACATAAAACTCAAAAACCATAACATAGGAACATTAAAAAAAACTGGAGCAGAAGTAGGCCATTCAGCCCTTCAAGACGGCACTACCATTAAATATGATCATGGTTGATCATTCAACTCAGTACCCTATTCCCACTTTCTCGCCGTACATTTGATCCCTTTAGCCATAAGAACTACATCAACACCTTCTTGAAAACATTCCATGTTTTGACCTCAACCAATTTCTATGACAGAGAAGTCCACAAGCTCACCATTTGGAGTAAAGGAATTTCCCCTCATCTCAGCCTTGAATGGCCTATCCCATATCATTACACTGTGAACCTGGCTGTGGACTCCCCAGTCATTGGGAACATTCTTCCTGCATTTACCCTGAAGTCCTGTTAGAATTTTATAGGGTCGTATGAGATACCCCTCATTCTCCTAAACTCCACTGAATCTAGACCTAACTAATCCAGACTGTCTTCATTCGTCAGTCCTGCCATCTCAGGAATCAATCTGGAAAACCATTGTTGTACTCCCTCCATAGCCAGAAAATTGTTCCTCAGATAATAAGACTAAAACGGCACGCAATACTCAAGATGTCATCTCACCAAGACCGTAGACAACTGCAGTATGACTTCATTTATTCAGCGGCGGGAGTCGGGAGAGAGTGCGAGGGGACTGCTGGGAAGGTAAGCTTTTCAGTTTAGAAGACT